GCGAGATCGTGACCTGGCTGAAGTCGGACGCTTAACCGACTGCGCCACCCAGGCGCCCCTCCAGAAATTTTTTAAAGTCTGATTTTGGAAGAATGTGAATAAAATGTGTTCTGCACAGTTTTTCAAAGTGATAGCTAAAGCACAGCAATGCTTTCCATTTAAAGCATGCAGACAACTCCACAAATAAAACCTATCAATGAAAGTAGTACTAAATAATGCTACACTTTAGCCTTATCATTTACCACTGATTTACTACCAGTTTCTGAAGATCTTTCTAAAATACAAAGAACACTGTCTACAACCTCTACTCAGTATTACTAAAATGGGTCAAGAGAACTGGGACGGGTTGTGCCCTGGTAAAAGGGAATCATAGCAAGAATGCTGGGTAGTCCAATTACCGCCAGGAGATGAACAGAGAGGGTGCCTGGTTCTAGCGTTTCTGAATAGGGGTCCGGAGTCAAGAGGGTGCAGAATCCCTGTGTCCACTCCACTTCGGGTTCGCCCTGGCTCACGCAGCCCGAACACAGTGTTTATTTTCTTGGAATAGATTTGAACCATAAGCAGATAAAAGAAACAAAAATAATAAACAAATGTGGATCAGTCAGAAGAAAAGGCAGCCAGTGGCTTCCAGCGCTTAGGGATCCTGCCAGTCTCTTCCCGAACCCACCTTCCACATCTGAGTGACCAAGACCAGTCATACCTCATCAGTTTCAGGGGACAGGAGCCACCTGACAGACGGGAAGCTCACCGGCCAGGCTCAAGGTAAGCCTTCCGCCCCGAATCCGGTTACCCCGGTGCCCAACAGCTCCCTTGGGGTCTGTCGCAAACCTAGTGGACGCTCCGAAAACACTTGTTGAGAAAAGCCGAGTGTAGGGGGAAGGAGATTAGGGAGAAGCTGGGGGAATCTCAGAGCAGAGGACCACAGAGTTTTCAGAGGTGGCGTGGGGAGGGGAGCCAGGACCGTGCCAGTCGCTCTGCACCTTGTAAACCCAGTGAAATCGTGGGCTAAAGGCGTCTTCCTAAACGACTTGGAAGTTCTTCGCTGCGGGGGCCCTTGGCTCGCCCCCCTCACCCCCACCCCGCAACCACCACTGTGCTGGCGTCCTTTAAAAACGGTGGATGAGCTCCGGCAACCGGAGGAGGGGGCGGCCGAGGGCGCAGGCTCGCAGCCTCGGCCGCTCGGAGCCGCGCCCTCCGCTGACCCCAGGGCGAGGCGCACGGAGCTTGGGGCCCGGAGAGGGCGGGGCGGCGGGAGGCCGCGCACCGGCCCGCCCCTGGAGCCCGGCCCCTCCCCGCCGCCCCGCCGCCCCGTCGCCGCCGGCGCCGAGCTGACCTCCGGGCCCGGC